CAAACACCATGAGAAAAGATAGACGCAGGTTTTGGGAACAGGAAGCTCAATTTACTTTATAAGTATAATAACTTTTTAAGTCCTCTTTTGTATCTTTATGTTTTAGAAAATGTTCATATTTTTGTTGTTAGGTCACTTAGAGTGAAATCTAAGGTGCTTACATTTATTTTTCGGTCTGTTTTTCTTCTTTGTAATAGCATTTTTTTCCCCCACAGGACAGTTTTAATTTAAACTGCATAAATCTGTTTGATAATGTGCAGTTTTCAATTATAAGAGTTTGTGTTTAGTGTGATGCAAAAAAAAACAAAAAAAATTATCAAATTTTCTAAATGTTTATTAGTTTATTATTCAATCACTCAGTGTTACGCAGCAGTTTATGCATACTTGGACCAATTTTTTTGGTCTATTTTTAGTGTTACACCGATGCCATATTTTGGTCCCGATATCGATACCCGATACCTGGCTGTGCATTATTGGCCGATACAGATACCATCTGTTAGAAATTGATGTGTGTGTATATATGAAGAACCGCAGACTACTTGGATGTAAAATAATCGCCATCATGGCTTCATGTCAAGCTGCTGCCTTCCTTTGCGAAACAGGAAAAAGACTAAAACAAAGTGAATCCAGTAGAACTTTTTATTGCCTACCTGGAATGAATGACAATAGTTGAAGAAACTTTTGGCTCTAAACGGTATCAGTGCCCTATTTGTTAGTAGTCGCCGATACCGATGCCACCATTTTAATGCAGTATCGGCGCTCTGTCCGTTACTGATATCAGTATTGGTGCAACAGTATTTTTATGAGGTTGAATTATTGTTTTTTTTTCGTGTGTATGTTTAAGTTCATTATGCATTTGTTTTCATCAGTGCTTCAGCAAAACAATAAAAAAATTAAAGGAAGCCTAAAGGAAGGCAATAAAACAATAGCAGTGAAGACATTTCTGTTTTATTTTATGTAAATTAACTTACATTAAAAAGATGTTATCACATGTAATCCCATAAAACAGGACATGATGTAATATGATCAGCTTGGTGTTATTTAGCGTCTCATAGGGAAAACTGAAAACACATCCTGCCCTTCTGCTCAGGCGCCCTGATGCACGAGCTGTCCAACGACGGAGCACGGCGTCAGTTCGAGTGTTACCTGGAGGAGATGGTGCTGCCGCTGATGGTCGCCAGCGCCCAGAGCGGCGAGAGGGAATGCCACGTGGTGGTTCTGACCGACGACGACGTGGTGGACTGGGACGAGGAGTACCCGCCACAGATGGGAGAGGAGTACTCACAAAGTAAGATGTTGTTTTACCAAGAGAGGTCCTGCTTTGATTACATGATCGGAAAATGAAAGAAGCGATACCGGGAGGCTGTTTAGATACTCGGCTACATTAATATCATTTCCAGCTGTCACACATCTGCAGACCAACATCGTCCTTCCCAAAGGAAAGAACAATTTATCTCTGAACGGCTGCTGCCTTTAACGTCAAACTCACTTCATCAAAGGCTGTTTTAATGATTTCCATCTCTTTTAATGAGTTTGACCATTTTTTTCTGACAAAATTTTAAAAGAAAACAGATAAATTAATTTTTTTATTTAATATGTACTTTATAAAGCTGGTTTCTAAAGCTGCCAGTTAATGAAACATGATTAAAGTTGTAGGGAATTTTATATTAAAATGTCAAATCATTCTGGCTTAAACATAAATGTACTCTTTATCAGACAAAAAGGAAGTTTTCCCCCCCAACGGCCAAAAAAGCAAGCCTAATGGGAAGAAATGCCCTTGAAGCAAAGAATCCGAGCAAACAACCGGTTTTTCTTTAGATAGGAAACTGAACCAACCTGACTGGATGATCTGGTGAACTGGAAAGCACCATGACATGATTCGGAAATAAACTGAATTGAATTAGAGTCCTATCAGATTCGTCAGACACTATGGGAAAAGATAGATGCAGGTTTTTGGAACAGGAAGCTCAATTTTCCGTAGCATTTGTTCATTTAGCCTGGCTTGTTGCAAACTAAAATAAAATGAGTAACACTGTTAAAGACATAGAGCCACAAAACAATAGTTTACAAAGACGGAGCCTCTTCCAGTAATCACCACTAATGTGTTTGACATTGATAATCACAGTCAAATCTCAAAATTCTGCTTGATTAATGTTTTTATCTCCATTTTTAACAGTCATCTACAGCACCAAGCTCTATCGCTTCTTCAAATACATCGAGAACAGAGACGTCGCTAAATCAGTGCTGAAGGACAGAGGACTGAAAAAGATCCGTCTGGGAATAGAAGGTAATTTACTCTTTAAGAGGGAAAAATATTCTGAAATCCTTTGATTGTTTAAATATTATATTTGTTCAACAAATGTAACAAACAAAAAAAAAAACTCTTAGAATTCTTAGAATAAAAAGAAACGAACAAGACAAATAGCTTTTTTTGGCCAGTAGGCAGACAGGAAAGGGGGTATGAGAGAGGAGAGGGGGAGAGACATGTGGCAAAGGACCACAGGCCGGATTCGAACCCGGGTCAGCCGCGTCGAGGACTGAAGGGCAGGTTATCCTCCCGCCACAGTGTGTCGCAGTGAGCTGGACTCAGACATTTTTGATGTATGCCAAATATTGAAGTATGGTCTGCGTGTTATTCCACGCCAACGCAAGAGAGACAATCAGGAACTAGCTGTGGGTCTAGATACGACCGAGGTGGTGAGGAAGTGGGGGGCAAGTTTGTGCGACAACGGAGGGACATGAGGGTGAAAAGAGCGGGATCCTGGTTGAAAAAGGGTCCCAGCGTTGTCGGCCATCTCCCTCTTCTAGCTGGTCCATCTTCACGAGTCGTTTTCTGCAATGGCGGTCATACGAACAAAACAAGCCGGTAAGGAACCACACAGGAAATGCACAGTGTAGAGAGGATGGAGATTGGACCAATCAGAGGCCTCCTGTCTGCGGTCACTAACAATTTTGGAGAGGTGTCTGGGGGCGAGGACGCCTCTGCGTTCACTGCGACACACACAGACGACCTGGTTTGGAAGTATAAATCAGCCTTAAGGCCTCTGAACATGTGTTGTGTGCGCTAACCACTGAACCAGCGAAGCGCGCCCTGAGAAATCCCATTTTGAACTTAAATCACAGAAACATTCGCAGGAAAACATCCAGAAGAATAAATCAACCAGGATAGCAAAGACCTTAATGAAGAGAATTGATTTGCTCTCCTTCAAAAAGGTTTGGCTGATCTATCTGCATCGTAACGAGTCATGGCGGCGTTTTCTCTGGACTGTTGCTGTGATTAATCAAAAAGCTGCAGTTGATTTAACTTTGCTTCATTCCTCCCCAGGTTACCCGACATATAAGGAGAAGGTGAAGCGACGTCCAGGAGGTCGCCCAGAGGTCATCTACAACTACGTCCAACGCCCCTTCATCCGCATGTCCTGGGAGAAGGAGGAAGGAAAGAGCCGCCATGTGGACTTCCAGTGCGTCAAGTCCAAGTCCACCACCAACCTGGCCGCAGCTGCAGCCGATATCCCCCAGGACCAGCTGGTGGTCATGCACCCTCCAAATCCACAGGTGGATGAGCTGGACACCCTCCCCCCTCTGCCAGGTGCTAACGAACTCCACCAGCCGATAATCGGGCCGGCGCCAGATAACCACCCAGGAGCTCAGCCTTCGCAGCCCTACGACGGCCCAAACCAGCAGGAGAACCAGAACCAGGGTCCTCGCAGCCACCAGCAGCCACACGGCAGCAGCAGCCACTGTCAGACGACGTACCACTACGATCCGGACCCCGACACCCCGTCCCCCTCAGCATGACTCAGCGCCTACGTCACAGAGAGAAAAGAAAGCAAAACCAGACTATCCTGACTGCCAAGCACACAGTCTGACTTTTCAAAATAAAAGCACCTCTGTACAATGTGAACGCTCCCATTCCTCTTCTTCCTCCTGAGGCAAACCACCAGTCTGCCTTCTGCTGCGACACATCACAACCGAAGAAGAGCTTCGAAGCACATCAGCAGCCGTTGGTTTTATTTATCCGACCAAATCAGCCGCAGAGTTAAGAGCGCAGATTACGGTTTGACATTTCATTGGAGCGAGTGTGACTCGGACTGATTGGTCGATTTGTTTTCAGTGCCTCGTTATAGTTGGATATTAGCTGTGAAGATAATTCCCCCCCGATATATTTAAAAGCCTTTATAAAAAACCAGTTTTACACAGAGAATTCACCCCGTTTACTGATTTATCGTCACTGATGTGAGCACACAAGATGTCAGAAAAGATGAACTGTTTTTTTAAATAAACTCTATTCACAAGTTTCTGGTTTCTTTTCTGTTGAAATCTTTCTTTGTAGCTGAGCTCAGAGTGGATTATAATATATAAAAAAGGAATGTTCCTCATTACCAGCTTTATATTGGACTCCAGCAGGGCTGCCCTCTGTCATCGGTCCTGTTCAGAACCTTTATGGATCTATAGGAATAGCCGGAGGGGTTTGGTTTGAGGAGCAGTGGCTCTGCCCTCCTGCCAAACCTGCAGCGGGCACCGGGCCGCTTCCCTGCTGAGATAAGAATCAGCTCCAAGTGTGACGCCTTGGTGCGTTACCAAGAAAATGTGGCCTGTCCCTTTCAGGTTGGGGGACAGTTCTGCCTCAAGTTCAGATATCTTAGACTTAGATTTATTTTGTATACACAAGTGTAAACTAAATTAATTTTCGTTTAGAACAGCTCTATAGTCAATTTCATTTTTTAAAGTGCAGCCTTGATAAGGTCAGCAGCAGTTGTTGTTGAGCTGCTACTACTGCCTCCAGCTCCTGAAGCGCTCGCTTCTCCTGGTTCAGGGGAGGAAGAGGACGATGATGACGATGCTGTGAGGGTGTTGCAGCAGTGATGCCATCGGCAGCTTTAGCAGCGACCGGCGATGCTGGAGGAGGTGTAGAAGCCAGAGGAGCCGGCTGGGGATGTTTCAACATTTGGCAGGGAAGCATCTAGAGTGCTCTCCTCATTTTCACCTGCAGAGGGCAGCGCTTCCCCTCTAGATGCTGAAGATTTCCTGGGAACAGTCTCAGAGGAGCCTCCATTCACACAGAGCTCTTTGTTCCCATCTGCGTGGTACAGCATCAGCCCCCCCAGGCCAACAGCGCCGTACAGTACTGCTGGATGCAGCAAAGACCCCGTCAGAATGATGGTGCAGCAGTTACATATCTCCTTTTTTAAAGAGGGTTCAAGTCAGAGATTTTCCATTTTGTTTTCCAATGATTGGAGGTTGCAGAGCAGAACTGCCTTGGAGCGCCGCCATGGTAACAAATCTTAGAGTCCTGTTAATGAGTGAGGGGAGACTGGTCTATCGATAGTCAGCCCACACCTATGGTCATCATGACAGAAACGAGATCCCCGACACAAGCGACCGAAATGAACTTTCCCTGCATGGAGGCTGGGCTCTCCCTTACAGATAGGGTGAAGAGCTCCGTCATCATGGAGAGGCTCCAAGTAGAGCTGCTGCTCCTCCACACCGAAAGGAGACGGCTGAGGTGGCTTTCTGCCTACAGCTATTAACACCTACATTTGCTTAAAAGAAAAAAATGAGTTTCTGCAACATTTAATCCCTTTGGCATTAATAAAATAGTTTTAATTTGAATGAGTCTCCCATCATGCAGAAGACTGACTAGAACAGCATCAGCTGTACCTGAGAGGCTGCATGTTTTATTTATTTATTTATATATATATATATATATATATATATGTTTTTATTACTGGAAGAATGGGTGAATGGTCAAAAGATCAATATGCACAGATGACTGAGGGTAGATGGATGAAGGACAAAAGGAAAGGTGGAGAGATTGCTGGGCTGGAATATAAGCAGAGGGATGGATGAACAGATGGACATTTAGACAATTGGATAGGAAAAGGTTAACCTGAGAACAGCCAGATGCATGTCTGGCTCCGCCTAGCTCCAGTGGAGCTAGGCGGAGCCAGACATGCATCTGGGCTGTTGTCAGGTTAAGGAAAAGGTACCGATTCATAGATTTCTTTACTCTGGTAAATCCCTGAATTTTTTATTTTTTTCCCCCCAAACAGCAGGAGCTCGGAAACTCGACATTTCATTTTGAAGTTCTAGTACAAATTCTTGGACTCATTCAAGTAATTTCCTGTTAAGGTTTGAATTTTATACTTGAAAATGGATCAAACTGCATCCTGAACCAAAGATCTCATATTAAAACATGTTAAAAAGTTCTTAAGACAAAAAAACTAACTAAAAAAAGAAAGAAACTAAAGTACTTGTGGCCTGATGAGCAGCTGACATTCAAAAACCTCTAAACCACAGCCTTTTTTCTCATTTTGCTGATGAACATAAATATTTAAGCAATATAAAGTCAGAATTTAATAAGGGAGAGATAAAAGAAATGCTAAAGAACTGAGGAGCAAAGCAGCCACAGAAGTGGAAATTTTTAAATGAATTATACATGAAGAGCTTCCACTGAGCCCTTAATTATTTAATGCATCAGTTCAAAGTGTTCGCTCAGGCTTTAAATAACTTTCTGAACCATAAAATGAGGCATAAAAAAAGGCCATTAGATCATTATTTAGTGTTTACCTCCCAGCATCTTCTGCTGACCTCCATTCAGCTGAAGAAAGACCATGTTTTCCTAGAGGAGGCAGATCTTCCTGCGCTGCATGGCAACGTCATTTAAAAATAAAAGCAGGCGCTCCGATTGGCCGAAAGAGGCCATCAGGTACAAACCAAACAAAAAATATCTAAAAAAATAAAAATAAAAAATGACAATCCTGCTATGACAGAAACAATTTTTATTTTAAAAATAGTTCACTGCTGATACATACAACACACTCATCATACTCATATATATATTTGCATAAAGTACACTCTTAACATGATAATATTTAAAGATTTGATACATTATCATCAGATGGGGGGGGGGGGGGGTATATAAAAAAAGGGAAACACTTTTTTTTTTTTTTGTAGTGTCGTGTAGAAACGCTGAATCAGAAACAAGTGGAACAGAAACGGACCTCGCCAGCTGAGCTCTGATTGGAGGAGGAAGAAAAGTTGATCAAATAAAATAAAATAAAAAACGGCCAAAGTTTCAGAGGGGTGTCAAAACTTTCTGCCTGTGTGGAAAGAACACTTCAATTTCAGCTGGGAATCTGGATTATGTTTAGTCAGAGGTTAAAAAGGTGTAACGCTACTTTTAGGGTGAAATGATTCTATAATTATTTAAATTGGATTGCATTAGAGAATTACACCTGAAGATGGTTTTCTTTTAAAGGTTTTAATTTAACTTTTGTCACTTTGATTTCCTGTCACTGCTTTTAATGTGACTCAATCAACTTTTCAGCACTGAACTGCTCTCCTGATAAGAGTTGCAATAATTTATCGGTAAAGAATATGAAAAATAAACTACTGGGTGATTTATAAGAGCAGCTGTTTTTAACTTCCTGCATTTATGCTCCTTAAATGTTAAACTATCAATTTTTATTTATTTGTAGTAAAAGTATCAACTTAAATCAGGAAAACAGATTAGCTAAAATCTCATAACTGATATTTCCGTTTATTTTAAACCGTTTTAAACAATCAAACTCCTGATCGAAGCAAAATAACCGAGCCATATTTTATATTCTTTTTTTTTTATATTACTACTAATTTCACGGTTTTCTATTGTAATATAGAGAGGCTTTTTTTTTACATTATTGGTGAAAGCAAAAAAAAAAACAAAGTGAAATTTGAAGAAAAAAAACTAATTTGTAAATTAAAGTTTGGAAAAATAAAAGAACGAAAAATTAAAGCATTTTAATAAAAAAATTGGTTTTGAGAGCAACTTCGCTTTTTTCCTCAAATGTATTTTTCATATATTATATTGCATATGTATATTGTTTTGTTGCAGATTTAAAAAAAAATACATATCTGCAAAAAAATAATATATTTTTTTTTAGCTTGAAAAGAAACAAATTTGAAAATACAAAATCTGATGAAAAAAATAACATTAAAAAAACATTTGAAAGAGAAACATTTTAAAACAAACTATGAGAAAATGCATAGTTACTCTTAAAACTTTTTTTCTTATTAAAACTAAGTTTTATTTCTAAATTGCATTTTTTTGTAATCTCTTAAAAAACAAAAAAAAAACCTTTAGCTCAAAATAATGAAACAAAATTCATTCCATATTTATGGAAATTTGGGGTAAAATTCTGGTTTTCACATTTTCCTGTTAATAATCATGTATTCCTATTCAGACCCCTTTACTCTGACACCCTAAAATAACGCTGAACTGTTCCACTGAACTTTGGAAAAAGGAAAGTAACCGTAGCAACAGCAAAGCCACCGAGACATGAGCCGGACAAGGAGAGCTTCCATCAGAGGAGCAGCCAAGTCACTCTGGAGGAGCTGCAGAGCTTCACAGGTGGGAGATTCTGTCTACAGGTCATCTATGTGATCCACATCCAAAAAAATGCTTTTTTTAAAAGAAAGCCCAGAGCTGCTGTTCAGCCATGAGCCATGCAGGGCGTAGAGTAAACATGTGGAACATACTGCTCCTTCCAAATGAGACCAAAATGAGACTGAGATGTAGAACATCGCCCTGAAAGACATTCTCTACAGTGAAATATGGCGGTGGCTGCATCATGCTGAGGGAACGCCTTTTTTCAGGAGGTAGAATCGAGCAGGTGAAATTATCAGGATAGAAAATGGGAAATAATTGAAGGAAACCTGTGAGGCTTCAAAAAGCTTGAATCTTTAAAGCTGGTAGAGCAAACATCAGCAGACAAACTACAGACTCATCAGGCCTGAAATGAATCCTTCAGTTAGTTTTTCTCTCACTTCTGAATCATGAGCTACTGTGTTTTGATCTCTTATATAAAATGCCTGTTAAATACTTTTAAGTTTGTACCAAGAAGCAAACGAAATTTAGAAAAAGCTAGAGGGGTATGACGGAGTTTTCAAGGCACTGTTCTGTTACAGTAGAAGTCGTCTTCTTTGCCCTCCAGAGTGTTTAAACAGATGCTTAGTGTATTTAGTGCTCTACTAAAACAATGAAATATTCAAAATAAAACAACATTTTCTCCTGTTCAATGTTTTTTTCTAAATAAGCTAAATTTATTTGCAGGATCCAATTGTTTCTTTCCACACAGGCAAAGATGGAGATGCCCAGACCTCCTCTAAACAAAACAAAAAGCCCCATCGCTCTTGATCTGGCGAGATGCTGAGGTTCAAACGTTCATCATGACAGAGCAGAAAGTTATTCAGAGGATCACCTCCGTCTCACAGAGGTTGGTTTGAATGAACAGCTTAGTGCAGCCACAGCAGTCTGCTTTTTAGCTGGAGATCATTTGATCAAATTTAAAACATTCTAGTGTTTCTTTTTTTATATATATACATATCCAGAAACTAATTATCGTTTCGGCAGTTAAGTTATAAATGAGCTGTGAGCTAAAATAAAACATGAAGGTCTGAGGACCTGTCCTACTTGATCCATCCCAACAGAATAGAAGTTACTCTCCACCAGCCTGAAGTGCTTCTTAAGAGTAGATAAAGTAGAGGCAGTGAAGAAGAGCTCTTAGAGATTTGAAAATACAAACGTATGAAACATCCCGGAGAAGCTTTTAAGAGTCGGATTCTTTGCTGCAGCAGCTTGAAGGGCCTCCAATTGAGGAATCCTGTTAAAGTCTGAGAGCAACATGGAAAATCAGGCAGATTAGCTACTTTGGGTTTAAGATCACTTTTCTTTTTTTCCCCGTTTTATTTTATTTCTAATGCATTGTAGGAGTTTTAGTCTGTGAGGCAGACACCCTGTCTAACTTTAAGGCTAGGCTTCAAACTTTCCTTTTGATAATGCTTATAGTAAGAATGGATCAGGTTATCTCTATAGTTATGCTGCTATAGCCTTCGACTGCTGGAGGACATGGAGACCCCTTTTCATCATATTTCTATTCTCCCATTCTGCAGTAATTTAGTTCCACCCATACCCTTTAGTTTTCTTGTTTTTCTCATCACAGCAGCTTTGTCCTGATTCTGTTTAGTCTGGAGAGAAACATCAGTTTGGCTGCCGCCATCAACAGCTTCCATTACTGATAACAGAGTTAGGTCTGTTTTTCAGTATTTAGTCCTGTTCCTCTCATAGACATAGCTATGGGCTCAGCTTTGACTGTGACTAACTGGATGTGTTCTCTTTCATCCTTTTGGGTATGGTTATCGACTCTGTGATCGTCAGCTTAACCATTTCCTTCCTAAACAGAATTAAATAGTAAAAGGAACCCAGATCTGGTTCTGTTTTGGAGCTTCCCTTCTACAATCCGAAAACAATAGGTGACGGGTTTCCCTAAAAAATGAGCTTTTACCGATTGATCAGATGAATTTGACTGAGCTGAAATATGAGGCGCCACACCTTGAATGGATGAAATTGACAGATTTTATAGAAGATCTGACTGAATTCAGTAAAACAGGATCTGAATGAACCCTGCCTTAACAGACGTGGGGTAAATGGTGCTATAATAATAAACAGCTTTTAATCCAAATTAACTAGTTTCCTTTTGCTCCATTAAAGGATGGTATCTAGATTACAGGTTGGAGTTGGAGCAGTAAAGAGACGCAGGTCTGCATTGGAATTGACTTTAATTACAAGATGCTCAAAGGTTCTTTTTTCCCTCAATGACGACAAAACATTGAAAAAAGTTTATGATATGAAAACGACCGAAGCCAAGAGCAGCTTTTAGGAGAAGCTCATCAATAGGAGGACGCTGCAGCCTTCAAATTGTTTTATATCGACGGTTTTTGATCCAGTCCAAATTTTTTTTTTGTTTTAAATTCTGTTCGTGACGCCAAAGCTGCCATTTTCGCAAAGCTTTGTAGACTTAAAAATAAACATTAAATGGGCTGATTTCCACCTCGATCTGGACCTGATGGGACCTCTACTGAACATATATAGAGTTTGCTCCATGTGAAGCACTGCAGGCTGCTTTGGGATGAATTCAGTTTCTATGTCAAACTGAATGCAGGATAGATGGAAAGAAAAGCTTTACGGTTTTAATCGGAGAAATTGGCAGAAAAGATTTTTTTGAAGATTTTGATAATATCGACTTAAACTAAAGTACACCTTTGAAAAAAAAAAGGAAAAATGCTTTCTGTAATCTTCAAAGCGAACCATCAAAACGGTTTATTTTTGCTTCCAGCTGGCTGAGATGAAACGGTGTCCTTATGTTGGGGGAGGGGGGGTCCTGGACGTGAACCCTCAGAGGGCGTTTAGACGTCCGCAGCATGGTGCACAAGTTGCACAACAGAATTCAGTCCTTCAACCCGTCAGAAGTCCAGGGTTGGTTGGTGTTTTTGTTAGGTGGGGGAGGGGGGGTCCCAGAGCCACTGCTGGACAGGAGTCAGTGAAGCAACATGGACATGTTAGCACCACATTTCTGTAACGTTTGCTTCCGGGGCCGCGGTCTGAGAGGCCGTCGCTCACGGCGTGACGAGGCGCTCCATCTGCTGGCAACCGACACTGGAAAAATGAAGCGTCATTTGGTGCAGGAGCTATCAACGCCACATAGTTTGTCTCCATGAGAACCAGGCCCACCTACAAGGAATGATGAATCAAAGAGTAGGAGAGTGGAAGTCTAAAGCGGATACGTCTTTCCTGGGAATAAAAAAATCTTCAGTATTTACAAACTCAAAATACTCTTTTCAAGACGCCATTTTTTTCAGTGTAGTTGTGCACAGATTGCAAAAAAAAAAAAAAAAACTTGAGATCCAAGGGAGAAAAAAAAAAACAAAAGAAAAAAAATAAAACAGGATGACCAAACTCTCCATCAGTGGCTCTAGATCTTCCCTTCCAGATGCCTCACAAAGGCCAGGGCAGGTCACTGAAGTCGACGGGGCCGCCCAGCCCGGCGTCGGCCTCTAACAGAGACATGATGACCGCCATGGCGGCTTCATCGTTGCTGGGGCTGCTGGAACCCGGCTCGTCCATAATGTCTATGCCCAGGTGGGAGTTATCGCCTAAACAAAGAAAGGATTCATAAGAAAAGGATGCATCTGTGTGATGCTGAAGTATACGGAGGGCCAAACGCGCCTTAAAATATATAAATGTCTGATACATTACAATACATTTACAATGAAATTATTATTTATATTTATCTAAAGTATGATTCAAATATTAAATGTACAATTTAATAATAGAAATATTCATGAAATAAGACCCAAATGGAGTGAAGTAATTCTCCATATTTTAATGGAGTGACCAGCCTGTTTTATTGTTATTTTTGGGAGCCACTGGGTTTAAAGCATGTTTTTTTGCGGGACTCACTCATGATGGATTGGTTGGAGTACGGGTAGCCCACAGAATCGGGTCCAGGAAGGATCCCCGAGCTCGGCAGCTCCGGTGTCCCACCGTTCTGAATCTGCAAAGGAAGCACAGAGGAGGTTTTCTCAGTCTAAAGCAGAAACAGGACAGGAGGCTCCTGGGAGCGAAGCCTGAATCCCATGTTCACGGATTACTTGATTGTCAGTTTTTGTTCGATAGAAGCTGGTTAATAGCTACAGACACATCAGCGAGTAAAGTGGGCTCAGTTTATAGGACGGAAAAAAGGTTTTGCAGGGAAATAACTTAAGCAGAATGAGTTATCTGTATCATTTTTGAACCCCTACAATAAAATCCAATCAGTTTTTTTTTTAGGAGCGAAGCTGACTTGGATGTAGACTGAAGGTAAATAAACGTTTATTCAATAAATATGACATTTCTTAGTTATTTTTGCTTTCAAATTTGCAATAAAACTAACACAAAAAGGTTTTTTCTATCAAACGGGTGAAAAAACTCACATGCAAGAGGCCCAATATTTGTACAATATAGTGTAACCAGGATTTTATTATTATACAGATGATCACAAAAATATTAAAAACTCAAATGTTTATGATTTGCAATGTGATTGGCTGCTTTTCAGGAAATCCCGCACCTCGAGAAAAGACTGTCAGTTTCTCAGTTCACTAGAAGGCGAGTACGGATGCGTCCTCACCAGGTCTGTGTTTGAGAAGAACACAGGAAGGTCTGGACTCTGTGAGAGAACCGGAGCACGCAGCATAAATATGGGTCAACTGGATCAGATGCGTACTTGTGACGTCACCACATGCCCAGCTCCTGTTATTAATTCTCTAGATAATAATAGATTATTACTTTTTTCATTTTGTGGGGGAGTAATAGTTAACAAAGTGAGATAAACACAAATAAACATTTTGCAAAATAAAAAAATAAAAAAATGGCCATCAAAGTCAGCGTTCCTTCACACACAGCTATGCCCAGAGAGGGCCGCTGCAGACGGGTTAACGTTAGCCGTTAGCCTCAGAGGTCCACTGGTTGCCACTGTCCTCTCAACACAAAACATTTTTTTTAAATTATGCATTAAATCAGTAAATGGGCCATATAGTGATGCTTAATAAGTATAACATTTTCACCCCAAATGATCTTAAAACGTACTTTTATTGAACAACAGCAAAAGAAAAGAGAACTTTTAACTTTCAGTGGCGCGCTCTATTGAAAGCTGCTGCTGCTGCAGTGCATGCTGGGACAGCTGTCAATTTCCGCAATGGACAAGTCTGCTCCGATGCATGCTGGGTAAAGAGGGAGGGGCGAGAACAACATCCGGGGACTTTGTTCATTCTCTCTGGAACAGTATTAGGACTGAGGCTGATGACGTTTCACTAGCACACGGGAACACACACAAGTACACATATTAGGAAACTGTCACTGTTTTCTTTCTTGTTGCGGCTAAAGGTTACGTTAGCAAAGCATCTTCAGGCTAATATCCTGACTTCATATCCAGCATCCATTCCTGTCATCAACTGAAAACGGAACGGAGAAAAAAACATTGCTTAACAGTCGCTGAAAACTGATTAGAAATGTAAATGCAAAAGCCTCACTTTCCTCAATATATAGATTTTTTACTTATTGACCAGCATGAAGATGCTTTGCTAACACTACCAGCCATAACCAGGAAGTAAACAGTACTGTCTCAAGAGGCGGGATGTCCTGAAAAGTAGCCAATCACAGGAAGGTGCTTTCTTAGGTTGGCTCCACCCTCAATGCTTGTGATATAGTGGAAGCTTGATGGTATTGATTCTACACCCATAAAATATTCAAAATGCGCGTGGGAAGTACTTTATATTTGCGTGTTTTAAATAAAATGACTTGTATCGGCATTTATTATATGTAGGAACTTTTGGCAGAATTCTGACTCCATAAATAATTATGAGCTGAAAATCTTTTAGTTCTGTATAAAATACTTTAAATATGATATTTGCATAAAAAACAAACTAAAATCAGTAATTAAGTTAAACCTGTACAACGTATAATTACATGTTGCATATATGAAATAAAACCTTCTTAGTCTGTAAATATGTCCTATCCAGAAGGCCTCATCATATCGTTTTACCTGTTTCTAACCCTGTAATAAAATAACCACATAAAGCACTATTTGCCTTCAAATTAAACAATAGATCAGCAAAATAGTGCTTGGTTTCAGCTGTAGCACAAACATTTTGGTCACTGAGGTAACTGCTAAAAAGGTGGAGAGGAGGCAGAAATGATGTTTGTGCAGTTTGGCTTCACCTTCTTGCCCCCTGGTGAGCAGGTGTCCGGTGGAGGGGTGCTGGTTATGTTCAGAGGGCTGGAACCACAGCTGGAGGGGGAGGAGCCTCGAATCCTGGAAGACAGACGGACACGTTCAGAGCTCCTGAGATCAAATACACCTCCAGGCATCACTAATCGCAGCTCTGTCCACGTGAAAAAGACTAAAGTACACATCTGACAAACACATCAAATGTCGCTTGGGTCTGAGAAGAACAATAGAAACATCTGTACATCTTCACCTTTGTTCACACATATGGACAGTCCATCAAACACACATATAAGCTACATTTAATCACAATGATCAGAACTTCCTCAGCTTTAAATTAATAGGAGGCTGTGCATGTTTTCAGTGACCGCTCCAGAGGAGCCAATCGTTGGAGATGGGTTCACTGAGTTCATCCAGTCTAGAACATATGCAGACTCTTCCTTTACCTTATGTTAGTTTTTTTTGTGTGTGTGGTATGGGATGATTCAGTTCAGACTGCGTGAAATCCTGCTCACAATTTTCCACAGATGCCTCCCCCGCTGCCAGCTCCAACAGAAGGCCTTTATTAGCCGCTAAATCACACCTTGGCCTCACGTAACGATGCGAGCGCTACAAAGCGGGCCGCAGTGATTTTCCATCACAGGAACTTCAGGTTTATCCCGTCTCAGAAGGCAAAGAGCCGATCTGCTGCCTCACCTCTGAATCTCCATCACTTCCTCCGCTATCATGCGGCCGATCTTCCCCGCTCCCGCTCTAGTGCCACCAGGGATGCCAGGGACAGTTTGCAGAGCTCGCCTCCCGCCGCCTGCCAAGCCACAGCAAACGTCATTTATACAGAGAGGTAACATATGGGCTCACAGAGGAGGGCTCACTCTAATGTTTTCCATCAATTTACCCTCTGAGGTCAGAACGCTGTCCATACTCTGTGGGGAAGCAGCAGACTGAGGGTAATCTGATCCTTCCATTATGTGACACCTGGAGAGGAAAACGCAAACGGAAAAATGAGCCATTTTCTACAGCCTGACGTTGATCACTCATCCTGTACAGATACTCACGATACGACGGTGTTCGTAGAGACGATGTACTCCACCTCCTTGGTCCAAGGGTTCATAAAGCTGAACCATCTGCTCCTCAACGTTATAAAGGAGCCATCTTTGATTTTGAATTTGTAACAGTTGGTGTTGATCTTTTCTCTCATCTGCAGGACTAAGAAGAAAAAAAAAACAAAACACAATCATCCTACCGCTGCCTTCCTTCATTTTTCTTTATGGTTTTAGTTAACCTTTGGGCGATACCTTGTCTGTGACATTCTGCTAGGTGGCTGATGTCATCCTGATGGAAATACTCATAGAAGGAGGTTCCAAGCAGCTCTTGGGGAAGGTAGGTGAGGATAGCTGTTGCTCTGGAGACAGAAATCCCAGCAGATTTATCAACTTTTTATATCAACTTTGACTTTTAAAAAGCTGAATATTCCAAGTCTCTAAAAGGCTATTTTTGGCCCCCAAAAGAAAATATTGTTGAACATCCTTATTTGATCATTAAGACTAAACGCAGTAAGGTATCCACCACTGGGTGTTTGTACAAAAACAGCCACAACAGTTCAGTTATTCCCCTTTTTAACCCGTTTTGTAACCCCTTTTATGACTAACTTCAGGGTGGGACTACGGCGCCTCTTAATCATCGCCGTATGTGTTGTGAAATGACAGATGGGGCGAGGTTGGCAGAAGTCATCCTGCTTCTCTAACGTCCCTGATTGGCCCCACCAGGCCTGTTGGGGCTAAGCCAGCTCCACAAGCCTTGATTATATCAGTACATCATTGAGCATTACCTGCAAACTCATACTAGAAGAAAAATATATGCTTAGTTTGACCTTTCTGGGCTCCTATAGAAAAATTATATTAGGACAACAACTCTAAATGTAAGAGATATTCTTGAGTGGATCATGTATTTATCTTAACTTATCTTAACTTATTATAACTTAAAGGTATAGGGGTGGATTTTAGAGAAATGTTTGAGAAGACTCGCCCTCTCTACTTAAAAAAAAAAAGCCCATTTCTCCGCGTGCACACTCAAGCTTACTTTCCAAAAGAAGATTTGCAATTTTTCCACTATGTCAGACTCATCCCTGGCAAGTGAAAATGGGGACGAGCACGTAGGAAGGGCTTACGTAAACACATCACCAGAATGATTGACAATTAGGACGACCACTTATTTAGATGATCCACTGAGAAAAAGAAAATCCACCACTATACCTTTAAAAATCAAAGTTTAGGAGTTTTGGAAATAAAAAATAACCAGGAGAAAATGAGAGTCTGTTAGCTTTTACCAGATGGAGACAATTAATAAGGAGCAGGTGAGCAGGTATCATAACAGACAAGGAGGTTCCAGACTTTCTACTGGACAGGTAACTTAACTAAACATAACAGGGATGTTGATTTTGGCTTTATGTTAGAGAGACGGCTAGTTTGTCTGTTAGCAGTCATCAGCAGCTGTTATTCTTCACAGTCGTCAGACCAGCAGGCCTTTCTGTACGTTTTACTCGTTTCATCATTCATTTTAGCTGGTTTGAAAGAATAGACCAAACCAGATTTTGATGACTTTATAACCTGAGCTGCAGCGTTTTAACTCCTTTCAGAGCAAATGCGTTTTCAGCATCAACGGCTTCTGCTTCACATGCAAAGTCCATGTTAGAAACACATCAAAACGCTGCATCGCACGCCTCGTTCATATACGTCTGGCATTAAGCGCCTCCAGAACAGTGAAGCACTGTCGACAGGCTGCAGCCATTTCCCAAATCCCTTGTTTTCCAGTCACGTTTTGTTGAAATTTGCCTTTTCCCTTACCAGACACCCCAAGTTCCAAAAACTCCTGCTTATTAGAAAAACAAAAAAAAAACACTATGTCACATAGTCTAAAATCCGCAATAATTTATCCAGCTCGCAGACATCGTGAACAACTATCGGTACCAGGGAGACTCCCAGAACTTCCGGGAGTCTTGGAATGTCTACCATATTCTAGCTTTTTCTCCGCCTCGAGCTCGTTTTCCTAACATACGGATTTACGTTCAACTGTAAGCAGCTCTGTGCAAACAAGCATGAACTAGTTATATCGGAAATAATATATAAGACTAAATTATTTTTATAAACCTTTTTATTTTAAATAGAGCATTTTTAATGCACCTGTAATCACATTTCATGAATTTTAATGCCAATGAATGCCTTAATTTAAAAAATAACAATTTAATGACTTTTAATGATTTTTAATGACTCGCGGAAACCCTGAAAATGACAACTTAGTTTGCCTAAGTCAGTTGAAATGCTTTTTTTTATTATTTTTTTTTTTAAGTCTCCCCTAATTCTCACCTCTGGTCGACGAAGACAAACTTGCCGTCGATGGCGTGTCGGGAGACGTACTCTGTGGGCTTCACCCTGATGTCTGCCGGGCTGGGCTGGGCGACGATGTGGGGATGTAGGCGGCCGATGGCCACCAGGCAGCTCAGGTTGCAGCCCTCGTTGTCCGGCTCGTTGTCTTCGTCCAGCCCCATCTTGGTGGGGGGCCAGCTCTTTAGATACCCTGTGCTGTGGATGGTGCAGAAGCTCTTCCGGTCAGCTGACGGGAGAAACAAAATAAAAATAAAGACTCAACGCTTTGCCAAGGGGATGAAAAAAATATATATGTACAACTGACCGAAGCTGAAAACAGAAGCTTTAATTCAGATTTGAAATCAGGATAAAATGGTGACAGAATACATCATAAAAATGCCTCAAACACGTGATCACCACTAAGCAAAATAAAAATGGAAAACCTTGTTTTAAGTGGTTAAGTCTTCTACTAATTCAAGTGATTTTTAGCAGAATTTCCCAAAAATCATATCAAAATACAAATGTTTCAGTTTTAATTTATATAAACAAAACAATTATTTGCTTATTTTAAAACTCAAAGGTGAATAACAAATATCTGTATCTAATAATCAGTGTTCTTAATATTATTAGCAATCATTTTTCATGACAGGATTAAGCTCCATGATTATAACTTTACATATCTCAGTCAAGCTAAACGTCCGTTGATGATTTCAACAGGATCTACAGATGAAACCCGACCAACTCTCACTATGGTTAAGTTCATGACGGGAGCTTTCTGGCAACCCGTGTAAAGCAGAACAAAAGCAGGAGGGCAATTAAATATTTAGCAAAATGCTAAAAATATAAACTACAGTGGCTTCGTGCAAAGTGCTGCGTGACTTTGCTTTAAGGGGGTGCAAATGCCTACTGAATTTAACAATGCTTCACCAAATCCCACCAACGACTAAGCTGGGTCACATCAACCATCTGCATGACTCATCCGTCCTCCAGCCTCCGCAGCTCACAGGGAAAACCCTCCGACAATGTAAGAAAGACTTTAAAATACAGCTGAAACAATCAATCGGATTAATCCATTATTGAAATAATTTACTAATTTAGTAATCAAATAATAATTAACAAATATATAGACTCTAAAACAAGCCATTAGCTGAAAGAGCAAACCTTCTGAGGAGTAAATGAACCGAAATTGTAAAAAAAAACCAAAAAGTTTGTTATACGTTTTAGCCTCAGCTACTTTAAATTCTCTTTTTGTCATCTGATTATTAATCAATTTACAAAATAATGGTTAGCTGAAGCTTTAGTTTGCATTAATCCGGAAAAATGCCAGCTGAGGAAACGAGATTATATGAACTAAATTTGACTCAAAAAATGATGAAGTTCTTCTTTAACATGGTAGAACATTTAAGCAACTGTAGTTTCTGAAAAACAAGATTGCTGCAAAACAAAGGAGTCATTCAGGATTCAGGAAACCTTTTCCAACAACCTGGGTCCTGCACAGGAGCATTTAAAGACTGTTTCTGCTGTTTTTACTGAAGTCTGATATAAAACATCCCAAATGACTCGGCAAGAAAGTAAAAAAGTTCAAATTCAGGAGAGAACCTTTAAATCCAGAGATTAGATGCTCTTTCTATGAATGAGGTTATCTCTCTGTTTCTGTAAATATGTGAAACTAAATATTGTGCGCGCTGCTGTGACTTCGTGAGCTACTGTTGCATTGTGGGGAATGTAGTGTTGGTGCGGCTGTGTTGCATGCACCAACAATACATTTCCAGGGGAAAAGATTATATTTATTCATATTTTTTAGTTGAATGGAATACAACTGCTTTGATTGCAAATGCAAATTTGAATTTTTTTATTTTACTATTTAAAAGCGGTGCTCACTAGGATCATAGAGCAGCACAGTGATGCATTTTTGCTTTATAATACATGCACTTTCTTTTATGTATTTATCTTAAGTTTATCAATATAATAAAAGTTTATTAATAATATTGATATTAATATAAAAAAAAAAACCAATGCGTTAGGTCTTGGTTCAAAAGGCTATGTTTATTTCAATGTTTTAATAAACATTTAACCAGGCTGGCCATCGGCTTGTAGCAAATTTTTTAAATCTTTGACATCCCTGCCCTACCATATTGACATTTTCGATGTTTGAGCAAGTGCTTGTTGCTACGATACATCTTTGCTCAGCAGCTTCGCTCATTGTAAACCAACCAATCAGCACGCAGCTCCTCTAAATATTCATGATCAAACCATAAAAGGAAGAAAACCTGTTGTTTCATTCTAGGGCTTTTAACCAGGCTGCATTAGGGTTCATAGAACAGCAGATGTGCCATTTACAGCCCAACATATGTTACACACCTTATTCAGAGACCTGAAGGACCACATACCCTATAGAATCATTCTATGACCCCTTTAAGCACTCATCTGGACGTCATTCACCTTCTTTCGGTTAGAGGCTAAAAGATTTACAGTCGGTTCTTACTTGACACACCAGGATATTTTACTAAGGGAGTGCAAAATGATTCAAACTCGGGAGAATATTAACCTACAATGATATCCGTGTGTTAGAATGGGCTGGCCAAAGTCCAAAACCANCCAATCAGTTTCTAAATCTGCACAGCTGGAATCCCTACAAGACTTGAAGCTATAAGATGCTAATTGTCTCCTCACTATTCAGGTGATTTTAAAAAAAATGCATGATTGTAACGTAGTTTCTATTTAGGTTTCCTAGATTACACCAAACCAAGCTTAGTGCTAGTAATATCCCAACATGTTAGAGTTATAACGAATGCGAGAAACATTGCAAAGGACAATAGTCATGATTTTTGAGGGCAGTGACTGTTCTATAAATACACCATAGGTAGGAGATGTATCCAAGTGAGCAGACATCCTTGGTTTTATAATAGAAACGCAGATTTGCCAACTGAGCTGTGATTCCTTTTTAGAATGAAAGAGAAACTAAAGGCAGAAAGCAACAAGAAAATAAAAGGTTTTCCTTTGTGACAAAAACTACATCTTATGTATGAGAGATGAACATTTGAAAGTGTAAAGAGAACCGTGTCAATCATTGGTATAAAACAAAGAGAAAATCATTCAGGCTGCAGAAAAAAAGCTGCAGCTGCTGCAAGAGAGAAACAAATTCAAAGTGATTTTTTTTTTTCTTCCAGCCATTGGTACCTTTCTTTTTGGAGCAGGTGGAAGGAAAGTCTTTATCTTCTACTTTGACAGAAGGCCTGTTGCACTTCATCCTGCAGAAAAACGACCGCCTGGCTCCAGAACAGAGCCGAGAGGGACCAGGAGTGATGTCCGTCTTCACGGGAAGACCGGCTGAAAATACAAAGCAATTCATGTTACAACAGCTTTTAAAAATAGAATGTTACCGATTTCCCACAAATAACCATTTCTACCCCTTCAGTGTAATTAAATGATCCTTCTAGTTCTGGAAAAGGACAGGAAAAAAAACTCAAAAATGTCAACAGGCAGATAAAATTTTGGTGAAATAAATGTTTTTCCCTTTGATTTGAGCAGGTAAGTAATGCTACGTTCACACCTAAAGAAGCAAAGGCAGCAGGAGCAGCTAGTTTACATGCAAAGTCAGTGTTTGACGCGCATCAAGGTGCAGCAAAACATCCCGCAGCGAGGCGCGTAGGGCGGAGCAGCAGGAGCGGCACGTCGCAGCAGCTGCTGAAGTTTGAAAAATTGAACTTTTTGCTGGTCAACGTGCCACATCAACCAATCAGAGAAGCTGATCTGGGAGCTGGCAGAAGGAGAGGAACAGCACTGATGAAACAGATCACTATGATCACTCCTCTGAAACAGTTTATTAATGCCTAAATTAACTTAAAATCCCGAAATCTCCCAGCAAAACATGTAAACTTTTATTATCCTGGTGAAAACGGCCTTCCAGCCTCCGTGGCAAACCTCAAAGAGGCGACCGGGCCACAGGCTGCTGTTGAATGGGATTCCTAATGACAGCGCACCGCCAGTATGTGGGGGACTGAGCGGCTAAGAAAGCCAAATAATATTTGAAGGCAGGATAGTAATCATGATGAACTGACTTCACAGAGGAATTTTTCAGGCGGACTTTCTCACTGGAAAACATGTTAAAACTACTTTTTAAACACTGATCAAAGCATATATAGCTGACCTACGTTTTTACCGCGCAGCCAGAGCAGCAAAGCTGCTTTAGCCGCGCATCAGAACTAAACCTGTAGAATCATCAAAAATGAAGCAGCACGCGCGTTTTTGCTGCTCCTGCAGCTTGCGGTCTGAACGTAGCATAAGAGAAAATGCCAAACGGAATGAAATGATTTATGTATTCCATTATTTATTTCAGGTGTATAATATCTAATTTACTTACTTTAAGGGCTAAAATACTCTTTACATTGGTAGATTATTTTATTTACCCGTCAAAGTTAAGGCAAATACACGCATTTTAAGAAATGTCACTTATTCTTACTGCAGCTCAGTTTTTCCAGTGTTCAACTGATGCTTATTTTATTCTTTTCACCTTCTGCAAGTTTCTGATCTCAATTTATTATTCTGATGATATTTTTCCTGGTAATAATCAATCAAATCCACATTATTGTGACATTTCATGGATATTTTAGCTGCCAGATCCTAATTATTGAAATAGATTGATCAAAACCCAGATCCTTTTTCTGCTCAAAGGTTTGTGACTTAGGCTGGTTTCTAGGCTGGTTTCTTTTCCTCTTTTCTTTAAGGGACCAAAAAGCAGATTAAAGTGTAAATTCAGACGGCGGATCACTGTTGACCAGATGGCTGATTGTCTAAAAACAGATATGCGTTTGTCCTTGCTTACTTTTAGCGTCAATAAGTCTCTCTCTTGGGGCTGTATCTGAAGACGACAGCTGTTCTTTGACTTTGGCGATGTCCTTGGGGTGAAGGTAGTCGAACAAACTCTGACCTATTAGGTCATTCTTGAGACGGCAGCAGAACCAGATAGCATGAAAATAACCAGAGGGAAAACAAAAAATAAGTTAGAATTAGTTTAGTTATTTGATTTCACCACATGTTGGATTCTTCTCATCTTCATTCTAGCAAACAGTCAAAGCAATGCTGATAGATCGCCTTATTGAAAGAAAGTGAGGTTTTCAGAGACCCTCTTTATTTCCATTTCCCTTCCTTTACCATCTTATTGATTTGACTGACACTGCCAAGACTCCATTTTTTTAAAGAAAAACAGGCTCAATACAGGAGTCGTAGAGTTGAATTTACTTTGAGATCATTTAATTTTCTAGGATTAACTATCCTGCAGAATTCCTGATGTTTTCTCTCTACAGCTGAAGATCTAATTTTTCTGTTGTGAAGTTCACAAAATTATTTGCACAGTAAAATGTAACCCTAAATGGAGTATTTACTGGAGTGTTGGAGTTAATAATCAGTGTAAAATTGGATAGCCATGCAGAGTAACTTTTCCTCTACATGGTGTCGATTATTCGCCAGTCTCTGATAGATCTTCTTGATTTTGACACTAATGTGAGTAAAATTAACTCTTAAAATTGTTAAAGCAACACTTGTTTTTTCCTACTGTAACATAACATTTTCATCTTTAGACATGGATCTCTTTTTACTTTACACTTTAAAACCATGTAACATCAGAATAGGATGCCTTTTTATTAACTGTTTAAGACTTAAAACTAAATGTTATGTATGTACACATTTAAATGAACATGTTTTCCATAATTACTTAAAATCTTTACCGTTATTTAGTCCTAAGAAGAAAAAAAATTATTTTTTCTTCTTTCATACAGCAACAACTGTCTTTGTTCATTAAGCTGCTGAATCTAAACTCTTTTCGACATTAACTTCATATCATCCTTCGGAGATAACCCCAAAGTACCTTAAGTGCACTGGGAAAAAATTAAAAAATCTAAATAAGTAATTTTTTCTTAAACCAAGTGCATTTTTTCTTGAATTGAGGAGGTAAAAGAGACACTTCCAAAAGGAACACGACAATTTACATTAAAAAAGAAAAAAAAAAACTATTTCATTGTCATATTTCAAGTGTTTATTATTTAATTATCTTATTTTAAGAGTAAAAATCCTCATTCCCTTGGCAAATCATATTATTAACCTACTCAAATTAAGAGTAAATATACTTAATTTAAAGCCGGGCATACACTGTGCGATTTTTTTTCTATCGTTGCATACACACAGTGCAGCATGACGCTCTGACGCGATCTATCTGCTCTCACTGTACGTCTAAAAACCACGGCGGAGAAGAAGAGGAATATGAAGTTTGCTAGAGAGAAATGTGCTGCCTTGGCAATTTGTGCAATTTTGTGCTGAAATCCCTAAAAAGAAAAGGTGGCGACGTATTTGGACAAAGACATGGCTGAGCAAACGTAGCTACTACGGTCTGTCAGTCTTACTGAAAGAACTCCTATTCAATCGCACCCCCATGCTTCTGTGTTTTCATCCGATAAGAAGAAGAAACCTTGTTTGCGCACTGAGCGATTTGCCCACGACGTCCGACTGAAAATCAAACATGTTTGATTTTCTCTTGACCTCACGATTCCTGATCGTGAGAGGCTGATCGTTAGTCCCGGTACACTACACGACGCACAATCAGGCTGAAAGTTGGCCCGATCGAAAAATTCTCACAGGACTGGAGAGTCGCCCCGAAAAGGGCAAACAAAATCGCACAGTGTAAGCCTGGCTTACAGGACAAGACATTTTGACTTATATCTAGATCTTTTTTTTGCAGTGTGATCCTGTATAACATCCTAGCTTTATGATGCTACCCAGACTTCAGGAGGAAGGTTTTATAGAAATGCAATGGCCTTAAAATGTAACATTTATCTATCACACATTTCTTTTTCAGGTCTCTTTACAGTAAAATGTTCGCCTACCTGGCTGTAGTTCAGTATCTTGTATACAGATTCGGAAACAAAAAGGATTTTGCCGCGATCGCAGCCGACCACAAAGAGGAAACCGTCAGCAGCCTGCGTTGTAAACACAGAACGATTTTTTAACAGAGGCATCAGCTTGAAATTGAACAGTAAAAAGGCTGAGGGATCGTTTCCCACTCACCCTTAGTATCAGATGCTTCAGTTCATCGTCTGAGAGAAAGGAAGGCTTGTAGTTGGCCTCAGTGTATGGGTTAGCTGCACCTGAAATCAGAGTGGATGATCAAACTGTGTCTGTACGCCGTAAATGATGCCTGTAAGAAGCAAAACCCTTTTCTATTTCAATGTTTGTAGCAAGCCTATTAGATAACCTCCCTGCTAACACAAAATAAAAAAAAAAAGAAAACAGTATACAGGCTGTTTGCTCAGCTGCTGAAATCTCTGGCTTTCAGAACCAACTTTTCCATCCCTTGATAGAATTTGGAAAGATCTCGCCTTGATAACCTTTACATTTTCCAGCCTCTCGGAAATGGAAATTTGAACGAGCAAAAATATTTCAGTCTTTAACAAGAGCAAACATTCAGGAAGGACGTTGTAAACAAATACATAAGATGCTGCTAGGCATATAACACTGAGCTCTTACAGAGGAACTAAAACTGCTTTTAACAAATGAAAATAAAACACGATATGAATTAAAAACACTGAAACTTTTTTATATCTCTATTCATTCTTATTTTCAGTCTAGAAAAAAATTGAAACATGAAATTCTTACTCTGCGTAGATGTAAGAATAAAAGATTAAAATAAGGCCACAGGACCAGACAGCCTGTATAGTTGCCATAGCGATGTAAATCATAATAATCTGTAATTACAGGTGCTTTAAATTAATTTAAATAAAGTAAATATTTTAAAAAATGTAGAAATCATTTTAAATAGACTCATTACATTCAGTTTTTGGTATTTTGATGATGGTGCACAGAATATCTACTAATACTAAAACATTTAGTTTTGCAGAAAGTTTCAAAATATGACCTTAAATATCAAAAAAGAGGATTCTCCACACAGAAGGAGGAGCTCACAGAGAAGGAATTCATCAGGGCTTCTTTTGCATAAACTAAAAGGGCAACATGGAGTCGATCAGCTCGGTTTTCTTTAACACGACCTTCAGATCGTCTGCACTGAAAGTTCTGTCGCCTCTTATCTTCCTGTTGACAAAACTCAATAGATTTCTCTGTTGGCTTCAGGTCAGGCTGCTTTGCCGGCCAATCAAGCAGAGTGACACCGTGTTCATCAAAGAAGCTATTTTAAGGAACCTCCTCCTCTGCTGTTTGTCAGCAGCGGAAAGCAGGAAGTTTCCCACAGCTTCCTTTTAAAAGTTTTTTAACACGAGAATATTTAGGCTCAACGCCATCAGAAACTTCACGTTCCATTTTCCTCTAAGCTCAAATAAAACAATTCTGCTGATCTTTCTATTAAAAGAAAAGACGAAAAAATGCAACAGTTGTAGATAATAATCTAAGAACAACTCTGTATTATGTCGGCTACAGCTGCAGCTCATGACTGGAGCCTTCATTTCCTGCTTTGATTCTCAAGGTGCATTTTTTCCTTCAACTCAACTTTCCATCATTCCACCTGAACTTAGCATTCAGAACATTGTTGCTTTTTGTGGCTCCCAGAACTATCTGAGGACGTAATGACAGCACAGGCCAGCGTGCTCTATGTTTACGGAAGTAAACATGGATGGTAGTGCCGGAGCGCATCTAGCGATCTTTCCCAACCAATAAAACACAATCTTTTCAAGATGGTTAAACATAAATACTGCTCCCTGCATCATCGTCCACCATGGTTGTTGTTTTTCTTGCTGCTTCTTCATAGCAAGACCCAGAATAGTGACCTTTGTCGGGTATTAATGGGGTTCAGGTTGGATGAAAGCGACCTGGCCGTTCAGACACAGGTCGCATTTGAAAAGATCAGATTCGTATCGGATTCAGGACCACATAGCCAAGTGGCCTGGGTCGCATTGGAAAAAATCAGATCTGTGTTGTTCAGACAGCCATGAAAAGATCAGATAAAGGTCGCATATGGGCACAAAAATTGGATTTGGGTCACTTCAGGCTGCAGTGTGAACGTAGCCTTAGTCGTCGCGGGCGACCCTGGTTCCAGTCTGACATGTGGTCCTTTCCGGCATGTCTCTCCCTCTCTCATACCCCCTTTCCTGTCAGCCCACTGTCCATTAAAAAACAAGCCACTAGTGCCGTAATAACTCAAAAAAAAATAAATAAAAAATCAATCTGTCATTAGTGAATCTAAGGGAGAGTTTCACTTGAATTAAAAACTTTAAAATGAGTTTTGTTTTTTCAAAGCACTGTACATTTGCAGAGATCCTGTTTTCCCTTTTCTTGTATCTACAGAATCAGCCAATGTCTAAACCGGCCCTCAGACATTTCCTCAAGTTCTAACCTCTGAGTGTCTTCATGTGCTGGACTGCCATACGCAGCACCGTTAGCTTATCCAGTTTGCGGGACATTGCGTTACAGGTGGGAACGAGGGACGCCAGCTCGTCGATAAAGCTGTTCATCTTGTCCCTCCGACGTTTCTCAATCTGACTGTGAGCCTCTCTGCGGGAAAGAAATGCAGAAATCAAAGTTGTGATTATTTTTATGGACTTAATGGTGTCAGACATTCACAAAGAGCTGCTTCCTTGTATCCAGCAAGCAGATAAAACTAACTTCTGGAGTTCCACTCATTCTGGATTGTAAGATAACTGTGAAAACATACCGCATTAGGGAGCCTCTAATTAACCATTAGTTGCATCATTACAGGCCTTTAATCCCTAATGGGTAGATCTATAAAGCTCTGCTTTCAATCAGGCCAAGTGGAACTGAATCAATGTAAGAGATTAGATGGTTGGCAGTGATGAGGGGAAAGAAGGAGAAGCTGGGATTGTACCTGGCATTCTTAATCCTGCCCTGGTGGTCACTGCAAAGACAAGAAGAAATGTTGAAAAGGGAAACTGCAGACATTTGCTGGCATTTTAAATATTTTTTATCAAATCATATCAGTCACTCTAACAATAAACTAATATTCAAAATCTACAGAGAATTACAAAACCAGGAGGGAGAGGATGCATGATACATTAAGAAGAGAACAGGCCAATTATTAAATCCTTAGAGAGAATAATGGTTATTAAGTATCTGGAAGAACCATTGGAAATTAACATCCTAACAGAGTTATTTGTCAGTGTTAAACGCCTTTCTTTTTTTTTACATTTAAACTCTGACTAAATGGACAATTCATGCTGGAGGTCTTCTGGACCTATGCTGGTTTCCATCACATTTTGTGGAGCAAAAATAAAAAAATCGTGGAAAATGTTGCGGCTAACAAATTTTGATTATAGGTACAAAACCAAAAGCTTTAAAGGGTTTTTGTAAAACATTAGCCTCATTTACACTGCTCTCTGAAAACCAATCTGTGCCGCGCTCTGATCAGTTCACCGTGCCGAGCTCGGTTCCTTATGACCGTTTACACATCCCGCTAGCACGGTCCCTCGCCTCCTAGTGACCATCTACGGTACTACTGCTCTCTAGAGGTAAACAAGCAAATCAACATGGCGGCGCCCGTACCATTCAGAAAGTTGGGAGAGAGACAGGCAAAAAAGGCACCCTTTGGTGAATTGACTTAACAGAATCGTCTTTTCGGAAATGGATACGACAAAAAAAGTCTAATCAGGGCTTACAGACGCAGGAAACAATGACAGTCGTTGAGGCTCATCACACCGCTAAACAGAATCATCACTGGAAATCGTGTGGCATGGTAGGGAAGCTAATTCTTTCATGAATGTCTGAAATTTCATGATTACAGAGGCCGACTATAAGGAGATGAGGTGGTCTGCTCATGCGCTCTTTGTTATCTGAGAACTGAGCCAGATCTGAACTGCGCCGAGCCCTACTGATTAACTATATTAGAGCGGTTCGGTTGTGTCCGGCACGGTCCGGTTCAGTTGTGCGTGCTATTTACACTTAGCAGTTATCCCGGTTACCGTGTTCGGATCAATCTCAGCATGGTTTCAAAAGGTTTCGATTGTAAATGGGGCTATAACTGCTCAATTTAAAGCTAAATGCCAGCAAAGACACAATCAGTAGGAAACAGATGTCTGATGAATCCCCTCCATTAAAAGACTGGATAGCAGTGATTCAGGACGTCCTTATAATGGAGGTACTGACATTCACATCGAGACTGTAGGAGGAAAAATGTAAAGAATGCCGGAAACTTTCAAGAACACAAGAATGAAGCGATACCCGCTGTTCCCCAGCTGTTCAACCTTCTTTTCTTTTATCCTATCATGTTTGGATGTCGTTTCATTAATACGATTTAAACAGCTGAAACATCTTATTTCATGTCTTTTATGTATTTTGAAAAAGGACAAGCAGAGAGAAATGTGAGATATTCAGGTTTCTAAAGACGCAGAGGGAGGAGAAAAGGTGAGGAGAGAAGAATTTGGCCCAAAGCAAATCAAGTTTGTTTTCTGAGCTCGTTTTGTCAATGCGTAAAATCTGAAAACCAGATTCTACCTTTAAACAACTAGTAAAACTTTAGCAAACGATGGGAAGGCTGGACGTAAAACAGCAACGCTGTTTATTCTTCCAACCTCCTTCTTATAGAAGATAGATTTTAAAATGTCAGCAGACTTTGGGGAAAATTAAGGGGAAATAATCTACATGGTCTAATGCAGCAGCCTCAAAGATCGGTCCTGTTCACGTTATAAGCAGGAGTAAGAAAGTGATTTAAAGCAAAACAAAAGTCAACTAACAAAAAACAACTAAGATCTAACATATAATAAAAACATCTCTTTACTCTCAGTGTGTTGGTGAGGTTTTTACTGAAGACATTTCTTTCTTTTCAATGATACTTCATTCCAAACAATCATTCTCCACTGAGAGGAATAAAGTAATCAAACTAATTTTAAATCAACTGAACTATTAGGAGCCTAAAGACAGAGAATAACCATGACGATCAGTGTCTTACCTGCCCAGTTTATCCTTATCCGGATCCATGTCACTAAAACAGAAGAAAACTGGTTTCAACAATAGTTAACTAAATAAAAACATTCAAATGGTGACTGGACTTTAGGACTAAGATGTAAAATAGTTTATGATTCAGGATATTTGATATTAGTGTGATAGATAATGCAATAAAGTTAATTATTTCCTAAATCTAATAAAAAGGTTTTTGTAACTTACTCAAATGAGAAGCCATCAATTCTGGAAAAAAAAAAAAAAAGAAATTTATCAATGAATTTCTTACTGCAATGATTAAAACCAGGTGTAGAAAAAAAAACACTTTTCTAATTACATCAAACCTCAACAAGCATGAAATAAATATAACTCCTTTCTAGTCGACGGAGTACTCTTTTTAAATTAGTCATAAAATGAGAATAAGTTATAATACGAGGTCTATGAGAATACATTATGTGAATAAAGTTAATATTACGTTAAAAAAAAGTCATGGTATTTATTTTACCGGAGGAAAAATTCTGAGATTACAAGTCTTAATATTAACAGAATTAAATTGTAACAGGAAAATAAAATTGCAAGATTACAAGTTTAAACTAATCTAAAAAAAATGTTATAAGAATAAAATTATTGTCATATTGTTAGAAAAAATTAGCAAAATTTAGGTGAATAAAATCAGAATATTAGAGGAATCAATTCTTAGCACAACAAATGCATGATATTATGAAAATAAAACTGTAAAATAATGAAATTAAAGTCATTTTACTACCAAAACATCATGAGAATAAGATATCAAGATTAAGTTCAATGTCATAAAACAAAGACATGACATAAGAATAAAGTTGTAATGTTTAGACATTAAAGTTTGAGCATTATACAATTTAAGTTTTAACAAAAAGTCTCAACATTGGCAGAATTAAATGGTAATGTTACCAGATTATAGTCGTAAAATTACGTGAATAAAATGAGAACATTATGAGATTAAAGTCCTAATATAACCAAAATTAAATTGTAACATTACACGACTAGAGCTGTAACAGAAGGAAAATGATGCCAATAATAAAACGAGACAATTGTCTTATAAGAACTTTTGAAAACAAATTAATATAACTTTATTATTGAAATTTCGTTCTTCCAATATGGACTTTATTCTCATAATAAAATAAAACAGCCTTATTACAGCTAGCACTCCATTGTACCCATTATTCTCTAATAGCAACTATTCTCTTTAACTGTGTTTATTAAACTCTCATCTCTTTGTCCTTACTGGTAGTCTGAGGTACTTCCTTTCCTCTTGCGGTTGTAATCCATGCCAGGTGTGCTGATGGAGCTGGAGATGAGGTCAGTGGAACTGGGGGACATGAAGTCAGTCATTGTAGACGATATGTCCATCCGCTGGTCTGCCATCAGGTCATCTGCATAGCAACGGCAGAAAAGGTTGGAGCAGAGAGTCTTTGCTTGAACATAAGAATATTCAGCAGCCGGAGGTAAGGTTACCAAAACTTCTGTTATGGCTACAAAAGGGTTGCAAATACCTAAATAAACGTCGCTCATGAGTTGGTTTCTAATGGATGCTTTCAGAGAGTCCCATGTAGAACTATAAATGCTATTAGCAGATAATATTACAGGGTTTTTCACTCAGTGTCTGATGATTCCCTTGCATGTAAATCACCATCTGTTCTATAACCATTATGTGCTGGGAGGTTTATATTTGATGCTCTGCAGCTAAATAATCAGTGGAGAAAACACAATTTCAGATGAATCTCAATAAATTACAATATCATTGAAACAGTAATTTATTAAAACTTCTACATTAAATCGATCTAGGACATTTTAACGTGTCTGTTACCCAAAATTAATTTATGAAAATGTATATTTCATGATACTGATAGAAAAACTGTATTCTAAGAAAAAATGTCCTATTTGGGCTTAATTATGGCCATGGTGATCCTGAATGTTAAACACACTGTCCACAGCTAATGTGACTGAAAAATATTACAGGTGAGCAGAAGAAAAAAAAAGAAAAGAAAGTGTAGAAGGAAGCAGGAAGAACCACAGCTTTCAGACGACTGCAAAGCCACCAATAAAACTCCAAATAGATGGCATTATTCATGCAAAAAAAGATGGCGCCTCAGTTTGAAGTCTACAGAACATTTACAGAAGCAGTCTAATATTCTGCTCTACTGAGAAACTAACTTTTGGGTTTTCAATACATTTAACCCAATGGATGCAGCACTTGGAGATTTAAATCTGTGTTATTTTTCTACGCCAGATTTTAATCATTTACATGTACCGCTCAAATAAGACTAACATACCATAGCCCCTTTTTAAACACAGACACCGTCTTATCAGAGCTAAACTCTGCAGAGTGAAAACTGACTTAGGTACTTTTTGCAACTGTGGTAATTTACATAAAAATCAGCAGTTTCTCGCCTAGATGTATGCATGAAACCTCAATTACGTGTGAGCACACTGCACTACTGGTTGGCAGAGCGAATCTCATTCAGACTATTGTGCAATCTTTAAAAAAAAAAAAAAAAGCATCTTTTAACCGTCAACTTAAGATTTTCTCCACATCACATTAAAGTCGGTCAGAAATAGAAGAAATGATGCATGGCTGAGTCAGACCGACAGCAGTACTTTCACCAGAGTGATGCCTGTCATGAGTGAGAGTTAACAACTGGAAGCAGGTTGCTGACTAACCCCTCAATCCCACATCCTTCCTAACCGCTTCGCTTTGCTCCAGACCGCCTGCGAAAAATGACGCCTACAGCCTCTGCGGTTCCTCCTGTCTTGCTCCGCTCCGAGTTCCTTGGAGCTCGAGGAGAGCATGTGCGATATTATTATTTGTTGATTCATAGGAACACAATATAAGGTATAATAAACGCTTAATCTAATATGACATAATAAAAAAAATCCCCATCATCCCCATCATACGTGTGATTTATTTCTAAACTTTTTCTTTTTGTTGTGGATCTTTGTAATAGGGATAATAAAAATGATTTAAAACTGTTTTGTAATCTGCATTTGTTTCCTACTTCCAAAATCAGCATCTCTTCATCCGTGCCTGCGATAAGAAGTTTCTTTTGAAGATGTGTGATGCACTCTTAGAAGTTTTTGGAAATGAATTTGACGAAACATTTAAGCCTTTCAGAATAAAATAAATATTCTGATCTAAATTACCAATCTGTTTCCTGGTATGTTCAATTAAAAATAACGCGCATCCAATCAAACTGCCTTCTTTTTTTGGGAATATATACAGTCTATGCAAAGATTAGCAGCTACCGATCTGTCTTTACCCCATTTTATTTTGACAAACTGGATCTCATGGGTGTTCTTTTTCCAGTTTGGTACGATTCCAATGGCAGAGCTTGACCTGGCCAGCTTCAAACGGACTGGAGTGGAGCAAAAAATAGCTTAGCTAGGATGAAGATGATGTATGTGGATCAGAGCATGTGAACGTGTGGAGCGCCTTTCAATTCACGTTCCCCGCTCACCTTAATTTTAATGCCACTCCGGCAAAATCGCTCCACGCTCACCCAGACTAAGCAGAAAGGCATTTTGTGACATTTTTCCTTCATGTAATGATGTCAGGGCCCTGGGACACACGGCGTTTGATTTAACGATGTGAACGATGCATGTGTATCGTCTTATTTAACTGGCTGTTAAATTATCGCACCGTTTCCCAGCTGTGACTCCATTCATGTTGCCCTGTGGTTCCTATTTAATTATTAATTTATTTTACTAAACTTAAATGAAATAAATGTCATTTTACAAATTTTATAATCCAACATTTTTAATTGACGTGGTGAGCGCATCGGAGCGAACTGGAGTGGAGCGAAATTCTCCCTTCGGCCTTTGAATTGAAAACCGCTCTGCGCTCCACCATATTTCTTCCACTCTGCTCCACGCTCCGCCCACTTGTTCTGAAGTGGATGGTGACAGACGGAGGAGTAGCAGTGGATGTGGAACAGTTCTAAATGATTAACATGACATGTGCAAATGCTCCGCATGACGGACGTGAGCAGGGCGGAGCAGTGACAGAGGATGGGGGATTCGGGGGTAATAAAACATGTGGAGCAGCAATCAGGCTGCAGGAATCTGAAAATACAGCTGGGTGCCGAGATTTAAACGGGTAACTATGGCGATATCTGTATAAGCCTACTGCAAAATCAGAGTTAAACAGAAAATTTTACTACTAAGGCTATGTTCACACTGCAGCCTGAAGTGACCCAAAGCCGATTTCTTTGCCTATATCTGACCTGTATCTGGTCTTTTCATGGGAGTCTGAACAACACATCCGATGTTTTTCCAATCCGACCCAGGCCACTTGGCTATGTGGTCCTGAATCCGATACGAATCTGATCTTTTCAAATGCGACCTGTGTCTGAACGGCCAGGTCGCATTCATCTGACCTGAACTCCATTAATACCTGACAAAGGTCACTATTCTGGGTCTTGCTATGAAGAAGCAGCAAGAAAAACAACAACCATGGCAGACTGTGATGCGGAGAGCAGTATTTATGTTTAACCATCTTGAAAAAATTGTGTTTTTATAGTTGGGAAGGATCGCCTGATGCGCTCCGGCACTACCATCCATGTTTACTACTATAAACACAGAGCACGCTGGCCTGTGATGTCATCGCGTCCTCTACTGTGCATGCGGGACACTTGCATTGCTGCAAGGATCCTCATAAGAGTCCGAAAATACGGCCGCATCACACCCATTCTCCACTCCCTTCACTGGATTCCTGTTTCTGCAAGGATGGAATAAAAGGTCTCAATTCTCACCCACCAGTGCATCTATGGAAATACCCCACTATACCTGAAGGAACTGCTCACCCCTTTCACGACCAGTGCATCTATGGAAATACCCCACTATACCTGAAGGAACTGCTCACCCCTCTCACGACAACACGATCCCGCCGCTAAAAACACTCAAACCACCTCCTAATCCCCAAGACTAAGCTAAGCACCATGGGCGATCGTGCCTTCTGCTCTGCCGCTCCTCGGACCTGGAATGCCCTCCCTGATCATCTGAGGGAACCACAGACTATTAAAAACATTTATTTTTAGCAGGACGTATGACTTTAAACATTTTATGATTTTATTCATAAGTGTTGTAAAGCGATGTTTATTTTTCAATTTTGATTTTAACCTTCTAAGATGATTTTAGCCGTAGGACTTTGAGATTTTTTCTTAAATGTAAAGTGCATTTCAAATAAAATTTATAATTATTATTGTATGAGTGCAATTCACAAAGAAGATCACATACAAGATGCATTTATTTGGAAATGTGAACGGCAACACAAAAAAAATAAAAATAAATCAGATTTCACAAAAATAAAAAATCGGAATTGAGCATCAAGGCCTGCAGTGTGAACGTAGCCTAAATGTTGCTTTATCTAACAGGTCACACTCACCACAGATGTTCATCACAGCCTCTGTATTAAAATCATCTCCTTCCATCCACTCTTGAGCCCTTAACTGTAAACACACAAAAGGATGACATTTAAGCCCTTCAGATACTAAACTTTTGGGTCTGCTAAAGGCATTACGAGACTATGCATTTAGGACGAGGGCATTAGCATTCAGCTCTTCATGGCTTTAGGTAGAAATCACAACCAGATGAAGCAAGTGGATCGATTACTGTAAAATTCCACTATTCAGTCATTTAATCTGTCAGATATTTAACCAACAAGCCAGCATTGTGTCAAATTACTCCACTGCTTCTGGGCGGATTACACACAGCAGCTGATGGTTGACTAAGATTTAAGAAACTCTTTGGCTGTAAAACAAACCCAAGTCATCACCCCTCCATCTTAACGGTCTGTGCCGATTTGCCATTGAAGCTTGTCTTCAAATGTATGGCATTACGGTCCACTGTCAGTTTTGTGATCTGAAATTTAATTGTTCCAGGAGTCAAGTGGTTTCTTGTGTATAACTTTGCAAACCCAAAGTGGCATCCATGGGGAGAAGATCAGAGTGCTGGCAGACGGCCACCACAGCTCTTCCTGAATTGATGGACAGCAACAGATGGTTCTTTAAAACGATTGATTCATTTCTCAGCAGCCCTGAATTCATAAACTGGTGACTATTTCTATCTGATGCAAATAAAGGCCATGACAAATCAGATCTCTGATGCTTCAATCTAAGCCCACATGCTTTGTGATGAAGCTGAATTTAATTTTTTTACCCCTTTAAAGACCAGGAAGTGCCATGATTTACAATCCAGCTATATTATCAAATTAATAAAACACAGCAAGAGAAAACTTTTAGGCTAGTATTTCAATTGATGGTCAGTATTATCGGGTACATCGGTCATAAAAACTTACAAACATTATCTTGTGATGGGAACCTATGAGAAGTGGAAAACAGAGCTCCTTCCGATACCTGGAAAGGAAACTTGAACAGGCCTCTTGGACGTGCCTGGTGCCGTCTGGATCAGTCTGGTCCGCTCCGGGTCTGCTTTGCTTCAGTCTGACCTAGTTTCATCCGCTTTGATGTGCTTTGCCTTAATATGATGCGATCCTTAAACAGCTGCCCCGACCTGTCTGCCTCTGAAAAGAAGAAAATAAAGTCAATATGGAATCTGTTAGTGAAAAATAGAAAACCAGAAATAAAATGTGTTTAAGTCATTACAACCTGAGCAGTTAGTTTTGTTTTTATTATTAAGGGCTAACTGAAACTTTCCCTGGGTGTTACCCATCTCCCTTTTTATGATGACAAATCCAGCAGCTCTGGGAAACCTGCGGCTAAGGTGTTAAGACTTATTCAAAAAGGTATAGTTGCAATCTTTATAAACAACATTACTCAGTATTTCTGGAACATGGAAAGCAGCAGCATGCATCCATCTGTGTTGTTTTTCAATCAATTTATTTATTGTGATTTTTGACAGCCATCTTAGATTTAGTGTTAGTTTTTGTCTTCAGGATGAAAACTAATATTAGTTTTAAGCTAATTTTAGTCATTAATATACATATGTGATAGTTTTAGTTGACTAAAACTCAAAAAGATTTTTTAAACAGTTTTATGTTGCCCTTCATAAAACAGCTAACTTTACAATTTTGAATAACAACCAGATTATTTACCAGACTGACAGCTCTTGCCTAGATACTACAGCTGCTGGGTATAGAATGAAAACCTTGATTTACAGAATTCAAGTTAACTTTTCTGTGAATTAATGTTCTACTTTATATAAAAGTTTCTCACAAAAGCTGTGAAAACAGCAGATCCAATTCAACACATCATATTGGTTTGAATAGAAGACAGACAAGCTGACAAAATGTGCAATAAAGGAATGGTTTTAGACATAAGGTTTCCTTCCCAGAGCAAATATTTTCTGATGTATGAATTGTGCATTACACACAGTTTAATCAATCATCTTTACTCCAATAAAACCAAAAGAACAAAAACATTCTTCTTTCTACTTAAAAAAATTTGTCTCCATTTCTAAGAAGTTGCCCTTTGGCGACCACTGCTCAGGAGTCAAAATGGATTTAAATTCACTTAATCAATCCTGAATGTTAAACATAAAAAAAAAAAAAAAAAGGAATCACAGAGAACCTAAATAAATACCTTATAATGCCATGGGGATCCAGACCTAAATTTCAAGTATATGTTAACTAAAATGTTGAAATATTCAAATAGATAAAAACAAGAAATATGAGAGAGAAATATTGAAGGATCTAGCTTTTCATCTGGGTTTCCTTTTGATAGAAAAGGAATCCCCATATAAAGAACATGTATTGCCTTTGTGAGCGGTTCCACTAAAGTGTCTAAAGACTTGATTTCAAGCCACAGTTATGGTTGCATTAGTGACTTGACTTTACAAGTTAGAGAAATCATATGAAACATCCCTAAAGTCCTAATCTGGAATTGTAAAATCGAACGTCTGCAGACAACTCCAAATTCACATTCAATATGGCTGCTGTAGATACAGTGTTTAAAAAAGATGCTGTAGTATAAATGTATTTGCCGTCCTGATGGGCTAAATCCCAGTAAACTTACATTGCTTAGCATTGGATATCAATCCAAGGCTGCCAGAAAGGCGGTTATAAGGAGAAGGATTCTATATACGCCAATTTCAACATAATTCTTTTCAGTTTTTTGATACAGAATCAATTCCCACAGCATATAATCTCAGGGCACTTTACAGAAAATAATTGATCAGATCATCCAGAAAAAAAAGCCTATAGTCTGTATTTATTTCAGAATGTTTTTAACAGTTTTAAAAGCATCAGCTATCACTGAAGTCTACCGTTAGGTGACCTACAGTAGAAAGAGAGAAGGTTTCTAATCTTTACAGACTGAATGACTGCCTTTAATCTAATCAGAAAAATGTTTACATTTTCTAGAAATCAGAAGGTTAAACAGCCTTGAATCTCTTTCCATGGATCCCTGGGGGCTCCAACGTTTGCATCTAAAACTGCAATATGAGCATGTTGATAAAAAAAAACATGGACGTTATCCTCTTTCATTTAAAGTTTATGTCACATTTTAGTTCATAATAATTGGCTTAGTTGTTTTCATACCTTTAGTTGTCCTTGATTGTTGCTGCCTTTTCTATCAGGCCACAGATAAGTAATAAGAGTCTATGATTCATGCAGATAACATATCGGGGCCATATGTCAACACTCAAAGCGGATATATCGGAATTAGAAAGGAAAAAGTTATATCAGAACTGTCCAACAAACATCAGCAAATCCAACTTCTTTTCCAACTACAGCGTACCCAACATTCCCAAATCCAAATTTTCACACAAAAAACAATCCTTTTTCTAGCAGGTGTTCCTGAAATTTGGCCGCTAAGCTCCATTTCTCGGACCGTGTCCGCCCTGTGACATCTAGACACTTTTTCTCACTGGGGTCTCATCAGTGCATTTCCAGCACGACGGCTCATAGGCAGAAAGCTGTCAATATTACACTCAAATGAGGCAGAGTCTCTAAATTATAATGAAACATTGTTAAAAAGGGTTTCTCATTTGCACGTATACATGACCTGTCTGTCAGAAGATCTTTAGTCAGTGAGCTGAAAACATGGGACCACCTGCCTGCATCACACCCACAAACTGAAGGGCAGATTAGACTTCTGCATCCCCACACATCAAATGTCGCTTGGGTCTGGTCGCGAACCAGTTTTGCTGGCATGCTTCTGCACCGTCAGTCTAGAATTTCTAGGGACGCACAGCAGTTTTCTGCCAAAGTGCAAAGGGGAGCCTATTCTAGAACTCGCAAGAACTTTGGTGGCGCCGACAGGAGCGTTTATCTTCCAAAACAACTGTGGCACGTCTGCAAGGTATCACGGTCACGGAGATGGATCTAGAGTTGCTAGACATCGAAAAGGAACAGGTTCTGTTTAAGGAATTGGCAAAAAGACCGATTAACCTTTCGTTGTAGTTCTCCATTGTAGTTGTTCCTCGGTTTTTAAAAATGGCGCACCCCGGCACCGAATCCAGAAGGACGACCACACAGAGGGCCGGAAAGGCATACCAAGGACCATTCACAGCTGCTTTTTGTCTGTGCACTTCCACTAGAGGTCTGCGTGGGTTTGCGACCTTCCGACGCGTAGTAAGGATTTTTTTGAGGTGCACGACAACGGTTGCAAAACCTCTGCACAGGGGACGTGGTCGCGCACAGAGTCAGATTTGATGGCTGCACAGGCTATGCGTCAGAAGCATAAATTGACCATGACTCACCTTGTGTGCGCAAACAAATTGATGAAGGAAAGCGCTCCCGCCCGTCAGCAGACAAAGAGCCACCTTTGAAGGCAGGGGTGGGGTGTCCAGGTTCAGGAGGGTTTCCCAAACAGCTGGTCTGTCAAGCCAAACCAGCCAATGATCAGACAATAAAACACTGCTGCTCATCAAAGCTGCAGGTGGATCTGATCAATCTGATCAGATATAGTTGCAGCATAGAATAAAAAAAAAAAAAATGTTTCACTTTAAATACAAAAGAAAAATCTGACAGTTTAACAGTTTCCAAAAGGTATTACACAAGTCAGACTGTTGTTAGATAAAACTAGACCAGTGAGCTCCATTACAGGGATAAAGTACTGATCTAAGAGGGGAACCCACTCTGTCATGATTGAACGCTGAAAGGAACTGGTGCTGGAGTGGAAACTGGGTCACTCGGTCTCTATGGCCTAAAACCAGTCAGCCTTAATTTCCATCCACCGCCTACTTCTACCTCATCAGTGAGTCAGCAAGACATTCAGCTCTTTCTCCCTGATCCACACTCTGCACCCACTCAGAGATGCAGGAGAAAGCCAGCAAACCTGCTACTGGAAAAGTAGCAGGATCGTCAGAGTGAGAGGGCAGCCGGGGCTCAAGGCTTTTACTTCTGCCATTTCCACTCTTTAGAATTGATGAAAAGCTATTCAAGTGTTGCCGAGTTAGGTTAAGGAAAACATGAAGATATCAGTTAAATATTTAACAGGTTTTAACAACGACGTTGTTTAGCAGTTTAGTGAAAAATAAACCTCTTAATTTTCAAAGGGAAGAAAAGAAGGACAGAAATCTCCTGAGAAGGGAACCATTTTTATGCCCTTCTGGGTCAAATTACATGACTGCTCATCAAGCATATGAATGAGAATAACAAGGCAATTTCTGCACGCCAATTAAAACACCAGGAGGGAAATGGGTTACTGGCACAAGGGTTAAGATTGGCTTTAAAGTTGCAGATGTGATTTGGTTACACATCAACAGAATATCAAACAGCACACTGACCCACATCAGTCAAACAAAATTAGAGCCACTGATAGGTGACGCAAATAACATTATAATCATGCAATGAAATATCTTACTTTCAAATATTGCTTTCAGAGGTCAAAGAAAAGCTTATGTTGACAAAAGTCACACGTTTAAGCACGCCACACCAGAGCCTCTGAAGGACTGTTTCTTTAATCCCTCTCAAGCTGAATTTCTAAGAATTACCGCCCGCTGCCGCTGTCAATCTCCTCCAATCACCCACTTTGCAACATACCTGACCAATCCTTTCCACCCACACCACTTTAACTGGTGCACTGTATGATTCACTTCAATGAATCTTTTATCATAGATCCAACAAAATTATTTCACTATCAAATTCTCATAACCTGAAGCCAAAAAATTGGCGCTATATAAATAAACTGTATTGAATTTAATATTTTACTGGGAGTCTCAGAATATTTGCTTCGAGCAAAATTAGGGATGTAAACAAATTACTTGACTTACGACTGATTGTCAATAATTGGTGTATCAGATAAACATTCCATCCAATTGACTTAAACATAAACCTTATTATTGATTTCATAAACCAATTCAATTTAAGGAAAGAATATTGAAATTAATTTGATATGAAATTGATAGTTTGAACTTTAAAGGGAGAGACTCGTCATGACATCGACATCCCTTATTTTGTGACGTCATTAGGCTGCCAATTACCTTAGTACTGCTTTTTTTTTAGGGGAAAAAAAACAACAGAAAACAAAAACAAAGAACGATTTATTTGATTTGCTATGGAAAAAAATGGAGATTAGATTTTTTAGACATATTGCGAAGCTCTAGTCCAGTGGGAGCAAT